CCAAAACGACTTCTTGCATTGCTGCTGTAGATCATCCTGCAGCATACGATTATAATTGTAATGTTAGCATCACTGTGTCCACTTTCTAAACAGCACTGTGTGCCTCAGCTACAACTGTTTTTGCCTGCCTGTGCCCAGTGTCAAATGCCAAAGGACACGGACCCAGTGTCATTGTGCAAAGGTAATAAATAACCCACATCAAATGCCCCTGGTGACAAGGATACAAAATGTGCTGCAGTGGAGTTTAAATTTAGATGCATGGAGAAGCTAATAATGCAACTGCTGAAGGCTAGTCAGCGCAGACTGGACGGGCCACTCAAAGAAGAGACATTCTTACATTTATCTAAATGGAGTCCAAGTATTCTCAGCTGTTTATGATTCATCTAGTATATGTATCTCAGTAAGTCAATTAATCCTTTAATGGACAGTCACTGAAGAAAATGGCTTCACAGAGGCCTGAGTGATATCTTCAAATGACTTGTTTTGCGAAGAATTGGTTGTGTTGTATTAGCATTATCGCTCTGAATAACTGAACTGCTTTGTGCTCTCACTAGTGCTACTTTCTCCTGGTAAACAGGCCGGTGTTTATATATATCCCTCCTATACTTCATGAACATTTAAAGTGCTTTATGCTACCACACACACACGGCACTAGATTTTACATCTTTAAAGCATTTTACCCATCACATACACTCTCTCTCTCATACCAAGGACATGCAGACTGGAGACGCTGGGAATCAAATTGTTCTCTTCTGCTTATCCTTATCAAGGCTTCGGGGAGGCTGGAGCCCATCCCAGTTACCATAGGGTGAAAGGCAGGGTACACACAGGACAGGTCGACAATTGTGGGTCTCTACCTTCGGTTTTGTCTTCAGTAACTGAAAAGCATGCTCTACTGGTTTAAGATCAGGTGACTGACTTGGCCATTGAAGTATATCCAGTTTCTATGGCTTGAGAAACTCTTGGGTTGGCTTTGCAATAAGCTTTGGGTCATTATCCATTTGTACTTTGAAGAGCTCTTTGATCAGTATTACAGCATTTGGCTGAATGAGAGCAGAGAGTATAGCTCTGTATGCTTCATTATTCATTGTGCTGCTTCTATCAGCAGTCACGTTGTCAAACACTAGTGACCAGGTTCCACTGGCAGACATACGTGTTCATCCCATAACACTGCCTCCACCATGCTTGACAGATGATGTCATATGCTTTAGATCAGGAGCTGTTTCACTCTTTCTCCATACTTTTCTCTTTAAATAATTGTGGTATTTATTCATTCATCTTAGTTTCATTTATCCAAAGGCTTTTGTTTGTCTGCTTTTGTTAAGCCCCTTGGATTAAAGATGAAAGTCTGAACTTCAACAATATCTTACTTTAAAATATATATGTTGGCGCACAGAGTCAAAAACTATATAACCATCTAAAAACTAACCATGTGCATTAACCTCTTAGATTTTCTTTTTCTTATACAGGGAGTGCAGAATTATTAGGCAAGTTGTATTTTTGAGGAATAATTTTATTATTGAACAACAACCATGTTCTCAATGAACCCAAAAAACTCATTAATATCAAAGCTGAATGTTTGTGGAAGTAGTTTTTAGTTTGTTTTTAGTTTTAGCTATTTTAGGGGGATATCTGTGTGTGCAGGTGACTATTACTGTGCATAATTATTAGGCAACTTAACAAAAAACAAATATATACCCATTTCAATTATTTATTTTTACCAGTGAAACCAATATAACATCTCCACATTCACAAATATACATTTCTGACATTCAAAAACAAAACAAAAACAAATCAGCGACCAATATAGCCACCTTTCTTTGCAAGGACACTCAAAAGCCTGCCATCCATGGATTCTGTCAGTGTTTTGATCTGTTCACCATCAACATTGCGTGCAGCAGCAACCACAGCCTCCCAGACACTGTTCAGAGAGGTGTACTGTTTTCCCTCCTTGTAAATCTCACATTTGATGATGGACCACAGGTTCTCAATGGGGTTCAGATCAGGTGAACAAGGAGGCCATGTCATTAGTTTTTCTTCTTTTATACCCTTTCTTGCCAGCCACGCTGTGGAGTACTTGGACGCGTGTGATGGAGCATTGTCCTGCATGAAAATCATGTTTTTCTTGAAGGATGCAGACTTCTTCCTGTACCACTGCTTGAAGAAGGTGTCTTCCAGAAACTGGCAGTAGGACTGGGAGTTGAGCTTGACTCCATCCTCAACCCGAAAAGGCCCCACAAGCTCATCTTTGATGATACCAGCCCAAACCAGTACTCCACCTCCACCTTGCTGGCGTCTGAGTCGGACTGGAGCTCTCTGCCCTTTACCAATCCAGCCACGGGCCCATCCATCTGGCCCATCAAGACTCACTCTCATTTCATCAGTCCATAAAACCTTAGAAAAACCAGTCTTGAGATATTTCTTGGCCCAGTCTTGACGTTTCAGCTTGTGTGTCTTGTTCAGTGGTGGTCGTCTTTCAGCCTTTCTTACCTTGGCCATGTCTCTGAGTATTGCACACCTTGTGCTTTTGGGCACTCCAGTGATGTTGCAGCTCTGAAATATGGCCAAACTGGTGGCAAGTGGCATCTTGGCAGCTGCACGCTTGACTTTTCTCAGTTCATGGGCAGTTATTTTGCGCCTTGGTTTTTCCACACGCTTCTTGCGACCCTGTTGACTATTTTGAATGAAACGCTTGATTGTTCGATGATCACGCTTCAGAAGCTTTGCAATTTTGAGACTGCTGCATCCCTCTGCAAGATATCTCACTATTTTTGACTTTTCTGAGCCTGTCAAGTCCTTCTTTTGACCCATTTTGCCAAAGGAAAGGACGTTGCCTAATAATTATGCACACCTGATATAGGGTGTTGATGTCATTAGACCACACCCCTTCTCATTACAGAGATGCACATCACCTAATATGCTTAATTGGTAGTAGGCTTTCGAGCCTATACAGCTTGGAGTAAGACAACATGCATGAAGAGGATGATGTGGACAAAATACTCATTTGCCTAATAATTCTGCACTCCCTGTAGAGTTTTTCTGAAGAGCGTTGTTGACTAAAAACGAGAAAATGGATAACTCTGAAACTGATCAGAGTTACAGATCTTGTAGCATTTCTGTAAGACTTGCTTCAAAAAAAAGGGGAAAAAAAGAAAAGAAAAGCCAAAAAGCATCAGTGATGAAAATACTAATATGGTTAGGGAGTGCAGCAGTTTCCAAGTGATGCATAAATTCACTGTCGCACCGGCTCTGAGGAACAGATCCAAGGTGACCCGGGCTAGGACATCTCTCCAAATTGCTTCATTGCAGAATCATTTTAATTTTCTGTGTGTAGTCCTGCATCCAGACAGAGGCAGTGAGTTATGAGCCCGCTGACCTGATGACAAAGCACGACCACTTCCTGATGGCACGGTCAATAAACAGACAGGGTCGAAAAAGATGTGCTCATCAAGCTACCACCGTCGCTGCATAATGCTCATGGAGAACATGTGCCCTTCATTTAAACATCCATGTTTTTAAAGGGCGGACAAGGTTAAATGCTGAAAAATGCACAGCGAAGTTCGAAAAAGTATCTACATGATGCTGCTGCACAGAAGTAGCAGAATACGAACAAATGGAAACATGCTTTTCATCCATTTCTGTATGTTATGCAAATAATAATCATAATCTTCTACTTCTTTCATATGATCCCTTTAGGGGTAGCCACAGTGAATCATCTACCTCCATCTCACCCTATTCTGTCCCTTTCATCCTCTGTCAAACCAACCCTCTGCATTTCCTCCATCACTGTGGCTTCTCTCTTTTCCTCCAGCAAGGTAGCTCCATCTTCAATATCCTTTAACCAACATATCCTCCCTCCAAACCAT